GAAAAAACTGTGTCTATTTGTGTTCAAAATTAGGGTTTGTTGGATTGTGTTTAGTCCAGTTGTTAAAGTATTCTTTTGTTGCTTGTTTTATTTCTTCTGGATTATTAATTATTTTATCTGATATTATAATTTTGTCGAAAGAGACTTGGTCTTGATTGCATTTAAGTATACTGTTTATCATGTGTGATGTATTTGATTTTATGTCATTATATCTTTGTTGTATGTAGAAATTTTTTCTTTTTGTGCATTTTGGATTTCTAGACTGTAAGCTTTTTATAAGGTTTTTTGAAGCTGCTTTACAGTTTGCTAAAAATTATTGAAGTTTGAAGTGAGGTCCTAGATTTGGCATAGAGTAATAGGTTGTTCTAAGTATGATGATATTTGTTGAAATAAAACATTTAGATCTTGTATTGTATACTGAATTTAAGTTGAAGGTTTGATATTTCTCAAGATAGAAAGATATTTATTTATTAGTTTAAGTGCTAAGTGTAGTTTTGTTGCTTTCAGGAAAAGGCATAGTGTTTTTTAGTCACTGTATATGTTTTTGGTATTATTTGATTTGTAACTTTTTTAATTAAATTTGACCATTTGTTCTATAGGTTGTTTAATTGTTGTAGTATTGTAATATTGTAAATCAGGTTTATTAACTTGATTTCAGTTTCTAATTTGTTAGTAAAGTCTTCTCATGTGTCTGTTGTCATTTGGTGATAGAGATATATTTTTCTTTTCTTTTTTTTGGATCTAGGTATCTTTAGTTGAAAGTTTGTCTTCCAAATAGTAGTAATTATTTTATGATCACTATCAGTAATATCAACTAAGTCAGTAATTAATAGTGAGGTAAAATCTAAAAGGATTTCAGAATTAACTCATATATCATCGATCTGACTTTGGTTTAAGCCTCTTTGCCAAGTTGGTTCTGTTATAGTATAAAATTCTAGTAAGCTTGTAGATAATAAAGATTGAAATGATAAGAATAGATTTGCTGATCACTTGCATCTGTTGGAGTTGTTATTAAAATCTCCTATTGTAATAGTATGCCAGTTATTGCTTCTTGCTTGGGTTAACTAATTTATGATTGTGTTTTGAATAGATTTGAGTTGTTCTGGATGGTTTGAAGGTAAGTATAATGAAATTATACAAAGTTTATTGTTGACAGAAAGGTGAAAATCAATGCAAATTGCAGTGCCTAAGATGGTTTGTATGTTGAATATAAAAGGTTGAAGTAAATTATGAAGCATGATCACAGTTTCCATGCTGGCTTTATGTTGAGAGCTGTCCTTGGGTATGAAGTTTAATATGTAAATTTTGTAAGATGGATTAGAGAGTTTTGCAAATGAAGAATTTTTTAGTTTTGTTTTTGTAATAAAAACAATGTGATAATTATTTTTAGCACAGAATTCAAGCCATATTTGTAACTTTAGTGGATTGTTGAGTCCTTGAGTATCATGAGTAGCAATGTTAAGATGATTCTTAATATTTATAGTAAAATTGTTGTAGAAGTATTTGGTAATTTAGTTGAGTTGTTGTTGTCCATTTGGGAGAATAGTAAATCTGGTTTTAATTATGTAAAGCTCATTGTTGAGAGAAGTAGTTGTTAAAAATATCCTAGTGAGGATCAGGTAAGTTGGGAAATTCAAAGAGTTGTGGAGGTAAACCTTGGAAAAAGAAGTGATTATGAAGTTTTGAGATGATGTTTTCTATCTGTTTATGTGTTGTTATTGGTAGTTGAATAGTTTGAGATTAATCTAATTCTCTTAAGGCTGTTTGAATTTCATTAAGACTTAAAGGAAGGTTTGTTTTAGTATTTTTTTTTCTTGTAGTATTATTAATTGAGATCCATTCTGTAGGCAGTTGGTAGAAGAAGTAGTATGTACAAAGTTGTCTAGCAGTTTCTACTAGAATTTTAGAGCTTATAATAGGAAGTATTAAATTAAGCTTAGTAATCAAAATAGGATCTATAGGTAATTGAGGTTTGTTTGTAAAGTTAACAGTTATATACTCTAGTGGTAGTGGGTTGTTAAATTTGTATGTATCTTGTATTTCTGCTAAGAATTCTTTGTCAAGTAATAATCAGTTATAGGAAAACTATAAATAATAGAAGTCTTGATTTGATTTGGTTTTTTTGAAAGTAGTTTTTCTTGAATGAAGTAGTTGTTTGGAATTTTGTGAAAGCTAAAATACTCTCAGAAAATGTTTACATAGTGTTTGAAATCAGTTGAATCTTTGAAGTTGCAAGGAAAGAGGTATCTCACAGCTGAATTAAGATTTTAAGATGTTGATGATAAGGGTTTCTGAGTAGATGGTAGGTTAAAATAATTAGATGATATATGATCAAAGTCATAATCTTTGTGCAGTTTTTATCTGTATTCTGCTAGATAGAGTAATTCAAATTGGCTTGTTATTAGAAACATTGCATGTGTTTCTGCATTTAGATCAGTTGAATTATTAGGAAGAGGGATAATAAGATTAGCAAAGTAGCTGTCATTAAGTTGATCGAAAGTGTAGATTTTATAAAATGCTAGCACTGTTGCTTGTGTAAATTTTCGATCTTCAATTGGAAGTAAAAAAGAAAGTATTTTTTTTATGTTTTGGTCAATTAAATCTGAAGAAATTGGTAGTAGAATGAGAAGTTGAGAGTGTGCTTTATTCAGAAGTTTTCATGTTTCTTCAAAAGTGAGTGTACAAAGGATTTGTGCAAGGTTAAGATAGTAGAATATATATCTTGTACATTTATGAGAACTTGTTATAAGAAAATCTAAGTTTTTAATATAATCTAAAGCAAGTTTGATTTTAAGTTTTTTGTAGATTTAGTCTCTATTAACTTTGTTGATCGAAATAGTATTGTGTAATTTTTTGTATTTTTCAAGAGCAATTTGGTATAGTGAGTTGAATTCTTTTTGATGTTGTGGAGCTGTAGCTTTTGTTCTTGTAAAGGAATGAAAGAATGCTATATTTAAATAATTGAATTTTTGGTTAATAGCATATAGGATATTATGATTTGGAGAAATAGTTTGGATTTTATGAGTAAAGAATTTCAAAAGTTGTTGTTTGTCATTAAGAGCTTCAATCATTTTATCATTGTTCCAAGTTTGAAGATCAAAGTTAAAGACTCATTTTGCAGCAAGGGCTTTAGTTATGGAATTACACCAATCGAAGGTTGTGTTGTTTTTTGGTTTTGGTAAGTTGGATATTAATGCTTTGTTGTATGATTGCTTGATAACTTGTTGATAATCTTTAGAAGTATTAAAGATGGTGTCCATGTTGTCAGTATGCATAGTTAACATAGAAGTTGATTGAGTTGGTAAAGTTTCTGTAAGTGTAATTGGTTTGGGATTCCATGGATTGTTTTTTGGAATAAAACTATTGGGTACAGATGTCAAATATGATGAATCAGGTAATGTGATAATGAGGTTTTGGGGCATAGGAATATTCACTGTTTTGGGCATGTTTGTTTTGGTGGCTGTAGTGTGTGACATTATTTGAGATTTTGTAAAAGGTAAACTGAATTGCCTATTTTTTGTTAAATTTTTTTGATGAGAATAGGATATAAAAGAAACAGAAGAGTTAGAGTTGTTAGTTTTATTTTTTTTTAATGGAAGGAAGTTTGTTTCTAGTTTTGCATTTTCTTTAGATCTTTCAATTGGAAGAACTTAAGATGTAACTGATGTAGCTTGGGTATTCAGTTAAACTGAGGCCTCATAGGAATCTATTTGTGAAGATAGCAGTATCAAGTTGATGTTAAGAGAAGTTTTGAAGTCTTGTAGTTTAGTGGTTGTGGTTTTTTGTTTTTTGGCTATGTTGAATAAGTCTTAGGTGTTCTAAGAGTTTATTTTCTTTCTTTTTTAAGTATCTTTTGTTCTATTTTAATTAATATGCTTGATATTTTAGTACTAGTTTTGTTTACTTTTTGTTTTTTCAATGATCTATGAAAAAAGTTTTTTTTTTGAGTATACAATTAATTACATATATAACTTTTTTATATTATTTATTTAAGAAGTTTGCTCAAAGGTTCTCTACTAATTGCTGTATTTAATATTTCTGCTTAAATGTTTTATTTTAAATATTTTAAATTTGCATTTGTGTTAATATTGCTAAGTTATGCTTAGGTTATTATTTTAAACTTGGAATTATTTTATTCTTAAAATAAACCTTTCAAAATCTTTTGTACTTATTTTTATAGTTGATCTAGTATTGCTATAAATTAGTTTAGATTTAATTTATTATATATATATTATTTTGGTTTATATAAAATAGCATACTTATGCTATAGCACCTTATGAATTAGCCAATTAAATTGCAGAGATATATCATATAAAACTTAAAGTCACGTAATTGAATTACCAAGTAAATAAAATATATACATCTTTATTTTACATATACACATTAGATTCATTTTAATCCTCATAGCAAAAATTTTGTACATATATACTAAATATACTTGTTTGTTTATATTTAATAACTGTAATATTGTATTATCAATGCATACTTATGATATGCATATACAAATCAGATATAACTCTAATTTTGTATATAACCTAGCATATAACAAATAGCCATCTTGATATCAATATATTTAAATATAAAATTAGATCTATATTAAATTAAACATTACTAATCAATATACTAAAATAGTAATTAATTATAGAGCTGCATTGTCTATACAATATTTTATTTCTAGCTAAATTGGTTAACAATTATATAGCAATTTTAATTACAATGCTTTCTAACTTTCAAGTAATGCAATATATTGAACAATAAAAATATATAAACTATCTTACTACACAAGTTACAAATTATAGTTTTTTTAATAATGACCAATTTTGCTATAGTTCTTACAATGCCTTTGCTGTTTTTTAATGCCTTTTTGTTTACATGCTAATTTGAACTATTTAGTGCCAAATAGGTGCTCTTTATTATATCTTTTTTTAGGATTTAATAATAGAAACTTTTAATTTTCTTTATTGTTATTACTTTTATTTGAAAATGAGTTTTTGGAAAAATCAGAAATTTGTTTTGTAAATTCCTGTAACAGATTAATAAGTTGTTGTGAATTTGATCAGTTTTTTAAAGCTTTATTAAAAGTCTTCTTATAAATACTATGCAACTTTTCATAAATCTTTCTTTGCTGATTCATAATAAGACTTTCTTCAAAGAAATCTTGATTATTATAACTAAATACATATAAATAAGTAATAGAAGAAGCTGTTTCTTCTACTAAATTTTTTTCATTATAAAATTTGTTTGCCTTCAAAAAAAGGTCATTAGATATATCAATCTTTTTATAATACCAATATGAAGAAATAAGCTGAATATGAAATTTGGCAATGTTCATTATAAGCATTACTTTGAAATAATGCCTGCAAACAATGTTTTGTTAAACAATTATTTTACATAAACAAATATAAGATGAATTCTTTAAAATTAATATATAATGTCTTGTGATAATAAAATTACCAACTTTTACTAACCATACTTTAACTATATTATTCAATCCTCCTACTAAGTAAATGATTTCATTCAGTAAAATCTGTTGCATTTTTGTTTCTAATTCATTACATATTTTAACTTCTTGTTTGTTATTACAAAACTTCTATATAAAGTAATATAATCAGATTAATAAAGTAATATATAAAAATAAATGCTTATTATACTTATATATATTATACTTGGTTAAAACTCTTTAGACTAATATTTGAATTATAAACCTATGCCCTAATCCTAACATACTAACATAAAGTATAGTTCTATCCTAACTTTAACTATTTTATAGATAGTACAACCTAATAATATATTATTATATATAATATGTGTATATGTATATTATATGTACTAATGATGTTAATTTTATTAAATTACTAAAAACAAATAAAAAACTTACTTCAATATCACTTGCTAAAATTTTAATCATCTTATAATAAATTGACTAGTTTATTTTATTACATTGCTTTTGTAAAATTACAGATATAAAAATTCTTTTCAAACATTTATCAACTTTTTTAAACAGAAAATTTGGGTTTTTTTGATTATTTATACAAGGAATGCAAGTTTCAAAAATTATATTCTTCTTTTTTGTCTTGTAAATTCAAAAGCTAATGTATTACATTCATTAATTCATGTAATAAAACATTTAAACTATACAATAACTGTTTGAGATACTTATTAACAGACTCTATATAGAAAGTTAATATCATACCACTAGTAAATTTGAATTAAATAAAACAATAAGCCCAATAATTCTTATTATAATATAATATATCTATATATGAGTTAGTACTAAAAAAATTTTAACGAATATCTTTAAATCTCTTTTCAAATGTTTCTTTTTTGAGACTATTTCTACAAATATAAAATGGCTTAATAAACTTGCTATAATCACTATCAAGAGAATTTCTTAAGTATTTGTTAATATTCTGTATAAGATGAAAAGCATAATGAATTTGATAGCTTTGAGAAAATATTTGATAAGTTGCAGATTCTACTGCAGGGTTAGTATCAGTAATTATGACTGCTGGCTGTCTTTCAGTTAGTTTTAAGACTTTGTTGAACATCCAAATATGTAATTCTGTACTTTTATCTGATAGCAAGGCTTGTACAAAAAGAATGTTTTGCTAATGCCAATTAAATCTTATAATATTAACAATGACATGCTATAATGATTTGTTTTGTGTATTACATTATGCAAAATATAGTTCAAAAATTGTATCTAATTTTCGATTTGTTCAGAAGTTATCCACAGTAGCTTGGTAAGAGTGTTTTTATTGACCAAAATGTTGATTTAAAGTCTAAAATATATGCTCTAAATTATAATCGATACTGATTGATATTGCATATTAGCACCCTATTTTTGGCAACCAAAATTAAAATTTTATATTAAGCTCTAATGTCAAACCAATAAACCTACTCAAGTAACTAATGAACTAAATTGCATACATGTAAATAAAGACAATAAAGATTGTAGCAAGAGTTTTTAATATACATATATATATTTAATATTAATAATATTTTTTATATAAATAACAAGTTTTTTTAATGCCTTAATTAATCTTTAACAAACTATTTGTATATACTATTTGCAAAAAAAAACATTACAAATCCTTAGCAAGACTTTCAAGACATGAAATGCTAAACTTAATAATTATAAAACTCCTCTTATTTAACACTATATGCTGCCAAAAAATGCTATTAATGAATAGAAGAAAATGCTAGTATATGCTATTCATAAACAACTTTCTCTTACTTTTCAAAAAACTAAAAAACAAGTAATTAAATTTTTATATATGGAGTGTCAATATTTAGAACTCTTTAAACAATATTTAACTCAAGTGTTTATTAACAAAAAAGCATATAAATGTTTTTTTTTAGAACCTAGCATATATCAAACTATTAGTTCAATATTAGACAATCAATGTTAGGGTGTATAGCATTATAAATATAATCAGGTTTCTTACATTGTATTGCTTATTCAAATAACTGCTAAAAATTTAGTTTTAGCTTTAGATACTATACTTGCAAAAAAGTAACTAAAAAAAAAAAAAGTAATACTGATAAAGAGTTTTTTTTTGCTATAACCTTGGAAAATGATAAAGTATTGCAACCAGAATTTATAAAAGACTGGGTTCAAAAAACAATTAAAGATTTAGTGAACATCAGATTACCTCTGAGTATATTAAAATACAATTTAATATAAAAAAAAGCTTTTTTACTAATCCTAATACAAATCTATATAATCAATAAAAAATAAAAATAGGGGTGTAGTGACCTAGTGAAGTGGTTAGGTTGTCAACTTCTCAAGTGGTAGGTTGGGTGTTCAAATCCTATTGATGGCAAAAATTTGAATAATCATCTATGTAATATTCATATTACAGCAACTGTTACTAACGATTAGGTTAGAATACCTGTAATGACGGTCATACTAGCATGACTGGCAGGTCATGGGGCATCTGTGTAAGTATGGTGTTACACAGAGGAATGCAAACTGACAAATCAGGCAGTGCAAACACTAGATAAGTTCTTGTGACCGTGTAAATCCGTTGAAATTGGATAACAAGAAGTCCATTTGGAAAGACCTGAGTAGAGAGGTAGCTGGATCTTTGATGGCCCTACTGTAAAGGCTAGCCTGGGAAAACGAATACCAAGGTCGTAGTAACCAGTCGTAGTAGCTGGACGGGCAAAAACCTCTGAGTTGAGGTCCCGGAGGTATCACCAACCATGCTATCAGAACGAACCGGAGGAAAAGGATATCGGGCCAACCTGATATACCAATGAACTGGTTGTAGTCCTACACGGGCTATCTGGATTGGAAGTTTGGTAAAAAGGCTGGACAAAAGGCAGAGGTATACTAA